TTCCTTCCTTCCTTCCTTCCTTCCTTCCTTCCTTCCTTCCTTCCTTCCTTTTTCTTAGGGTAATGTGTAGCACAGGCATTACCCAAGATTCCCTGGTTGGAAACCTGTTAGTCATTTATGGCTGCTTCCCAAATTCCCAACATAAAAATGCTGTGCTAGTTTTCACACCTAAGTAGATCTTGAAATCATCCACTTCTTTTTATACCACTTCCTGAGTTTATTCCTTCAACATCTTTTATGTGAATTTTGTGAGTGCTAAGTTGTTTGCCAGCCCAATTTTACCCACTTGAACCCAACATGACCACTGTACCAGGTCATTCCCCAACTAAAATCTTCCAATGACTCCCCATTATCTAAACCTTAACCTCAGATCACCCCAGTCTGATGTATCTTTAGGTACCAAATTCTAGATAAAAGTTTTTCTGTTTCTCAAGCAAATCCTATGGTATATGATGTCGATGTCTGTTTACTCTGAACTCTGATGCAATACTGTTAGCTCTTGCTTGGCTTTGCAATCCCTCTCCTTGGTTCAGGTTTCACCTTATACCTCAAGTGTCTCTTGACTTTCCTCCATACCTCACAGAACCTTGAGCATACCTCTCTTACTGCAATTTTTACAGTATGTGATGTCAGTGTTTAGATGTATATTTCTACCAATCTGAGGTAAGCAATTATTTTAAAAAATTTTAATGTTTATTTATTTTTGAGAGAGAGGCAGAGCACAAGTGGGGAGGGGCAGAGAGAGAGGGAGACACAGAATCCGAAGCAGTCTCCAAACTCTGAGCAGTCAGTACAGAGCCCGACGTGGGGCTTGAACTCACGAACCATGAGATCATGATCTAAGTCAAAGTTGGATGCTCAATTGACTGAACCACCCAGGCACCCCAGGCAATCATTTTTTGATCTTCAAACTATGTATGTTCCTGGCATATGGTAGTAGCTCAAAAAGTATTTATTGAATTGTTCGTTAGGAGAATAAATGATTATCTTGAATGTGTCTAATAAACATTTACTAAATTGATGTCTATGGCAATAAGTAATAATTAATATAACTATTCTCTTAAAAACTTATTGTATATATATTTGATTTAATAATGTGTTGGTGAGGCAGTTACATAGGAAGCAAAAATATGTTTCAATATCTTGAGGAAATCACCGATAGAAAACAAACACTTGAGTATATAAAATACACATACTATATATAGTTACTAAAATCATTACAGCTACATTATTTTCTCCACTGATATATTTTCATGAAGTATTGTCTCAAGCCATAGTGGCCATTTTTATAGTCATTAAAATTTATATTATATATTTGTAGCTTTCAATCTAAGCCTACCTTTCTATGTCAAAACAAAGAAAAATAGCTTTGTTAAGTTCTCTGGCTTTGGTAATCAAAGCGATAAATTACTAAAATGACATTAGCCTAAAGAGACACATTTTGCTAAAATATATAAAATTTCATTAACTAAAATTCAAACAGATTGAGAACAGACTACCCAGCTTCCATTATTATAAGAACCCGTGTTACTTAACTTCAGATAACAAAATATACACATGTGAATTTGTAGAAATGGATTACATTTCCACTAGGCAAATCATTTAGATTCTGAAAGATAATTATTCAAACATATTACTTGATAGGTATTAATAAGAAAAAGGGTCATTTTCTCTTTACAAAACAGCTTTGAGAACTAAAGAAAAACTTAATACTGTCATTTTATGATACTTGTATCACAGAATTTCTGAATGTTCATATTCTAATGTTTGCTTAAGGTCTGCCTTTTAACATTATGCTCATGTGTAGCAATCTATTTACAGAAGTGATTTTTCTTCTCTTACCTGAAATGAAGTAATTGGATATATATTAACATGAGCCTCATTCCACCGTTGTCCTTTATTCCCACTTGAAGACCACAGTGGATTCTCTATGGTTGTCTGCCCTTTCAAACGCAGATAAACATTGAGGACACCTAAAAATAACAATGACATTTTATTTCATATATTTGTTTTTGTTTCACATTGGTTTCTCCTTGACCAAACACTTGTAAACTTTTAAAAATAAAATTTCTCAGGGCACTAGTGTCTCCTCCTTTCCTCCCCTCTCATTTCCAATCTTGCTCGTATGGCATTTGGCAGGCCTCCAAAGACAACTGTGTACTAATCCCTAGAATCTTTGCGTGTTATTTTATATGACCAAAGGGACTTTGCAGATGTGGTCAAATTAAGGATCTCCAGGTGAGAATTATTCGGGATTATCTTGGTGGATCTTAAATGTAACCCCATGTATCTTTATAAGATGGAGGCAAGAGAGTTGATATATGAGAGAAGAAGGTCGTGTGAAAGAAAGAGAGGATGCTATGTGGCTTGTTTTGAAGGTGAAGAAAAAAGCCACAAGCCAAGTATAAGCAGCCTTTAGAAGCTACCAAAGGCAAAGCAATATATTCTTCCCTAGAGCCTTCAGAAGGAAGTAGGCCTGCTGACACCTCGATTTTAGCCCTATTTGACTCATTTTGGATTTCTGTTTTCCAGAACTGTAAGATAATACATTTTTGTTCTTTTAAGCCACAACACTTATGGTAACTTGTTACAGCATTAATAGGAAACTAATGTTTTTTGTATGTATTGAGTGACTTGACTCTAATTGCCCTATCTTACATTACCAAATAGCATCTCTTTGAGTTTACTTTCTATCCAAGTCTCATTTCTCTTTTAAAAGAATTATTTGAACATGAGAATAACTTTGTCTCATGATTTGATATATCTCTTTCAACAGTTTCACATTCTGAACCTTGTAAAAATAGTAGTGATGCTAATGATATTATTACAATATGGTATTGATATATAGTGAACACCTGCTCCAGATAAGGAATTAATCCTCTCACCAGTGCTATAAACTACTATTATTCCCAATTATAGACAAAACTTAGGATGGTTAAGTAATTTGCCCAATTCATACAGTAAGAAAATAGCAGAGGCAATATTTGAACCCATAAAGTCTGACATACTGATCACTAAGCAATCAGTATTTTGATACACTTAAAAAAACAACTTTATTGAAATATAACTTACACGCAATAAAATTCTCTCATTTTATGTTATTTATTTTTTAAACGTTTATTTATTTTTGAGACAGAGAGAGACAGAGCATGAACGGGGGAGGGTCAGAGAGAGAGGGAGACACAGAATATGAAACAGGCTCCAGGCTCCGAGCTGTCAGCACAGAGCCCGACGCGGGTCTCGAACTCACGGATCGCGAGATCGGGACCTGAGCTGAAGTCGGCCGCTCAACCGACTGAGCCACCCAGGCGCCCCAAAATTCTCTCATTTTAAATGTACAGGTCAATAACCTTTGATTGATATATACTACAGTGTAAGTGCTGCTCAATCAAGATACAGGACACTTCCTCTTCCCAGAAAGCTTCCTTCCTTTCTTTCCTCTGCAGTTATCTTCACAGCCCTTGCTCCTGTTCCCGGCAATTACTGATAGGACTCTCCTGACTGACTGATGGTTTTGGCCTTTTCTAGAATTTGATGTTAATGAAATTATGCACTAATTATTTTTTGTGTCTCTGGCTACTTTTCCTCAGTATAGTTTCTGTTATATTCATCTATGTTATTCTATCATTTTAAATTTTAATATTTAGTTCATTTATAGTTACTGTAATTTTTGGTATGTTTGGAATTAAGACCATCTTATTTATTCTCCACTTGTACTTTCTGTTTTTATTCTTTTGTGGCTCCTTCTCTTTCTTCTTTTCAGTTGATATATATGATTGTAATTTATTTCTTGTACTGATTTTTAAATCTCTAATTGTGTTTTAGTGGTTGTTCCAGGGCTAACAGCACTCATAACTCTTCATAGTCTAATTATAGGCAGTAGTTTATTCTTCATGCTCACAACTTTACATCATCATACTCTCTTTTCAGGTTTTACTATTATCTCCCTTCTTTCATTTCAAAGCTGATACTTCACATTCTTTATCTCACTACACACATGCAATAATCTTACCACAGTATAATTCATCTATCCTCCTTCCATTTTTAATAGTATTTTCTACTTTTTCCTAAATTGTAAATCTCACTTTACAGTAAACAGATATATTTTATGTAAATTATAAGAAGAAAATATAGTTTTAAAATTTTCTACTTATTTACCATTTCTGATGGACTTCCTTTCTACCTGTAGATCTGAGTTGCAATCTAGCACCATTTCCCTTTGGCCTGAAGAATATCCATTAGTACTTTTTGTAGTGGTGATCTGCTGGAGACAAAGTTTCTCAGATTTGTTTATATAAAAATAACTTCATTTCATTCATGTTTTTGTGACATTTAAAATTCTGCCATTTTTTTTCCTCAAGCAGTTTAAAGTTGATCTATTTTTTCTGTATGTCACTGTTTCTAATGTGAAATCAACCATCATTTTATCTTTGTTCCCTTGAATATGTTTTTATTTCTCCCTCTGGCTACTTTTGAGAACTTTTCCTTAGTTTTGATTTGCAGTAGTTTGATTACAATGTACCTAAATATGATTCTCCTTATATTCATCTTGGTGTAGAGTTTGCTGAAGGTCTTTTGGTTTTCCCTTTATTTATGCCTCATCTTTTTCCTCTCCTTTTCTACTTTTTCCTCTCCCTCTCCCTCTCTCTCTATATATGCTCTCTCTTTATATATATATATATATACACACACACACACACACACATATACATATACATATAATTGGAGATCTATCTATATAGATACATAGATAGATCTGCCCTCTTTAGTTTTATTTGCCCTTATCTTCCTGCTTCAGCTTTATTTCAATGGATTGATTTTTACTTTTTCATTGACTTTGGACCCCATTTCCTGTTTCTCTGTATGTCTAGTGATTTTCATTGAAAAATGGGCATTGTGGACACAGAGACTTTAGATTTTTAATCTTTCTCAGAAGGCAGTTTTATTTCAGTAGACTGTGCTCAGTGATCCATCGTAGTAAGAAGTAGCTGTTCTGAATCCTTCTTTTTTCCATTTTAGATACTCAATGTGGCTCCAATTTTCTTGCTCATTGGTATTGGCACCTTGTATTTAGAAAGGCAACCTGTGCCAAAAGGAAGAGCTCTTTCAGGACATATTTCTGTGTGATGTAACTGCATTCTATTTTTTTGAACATGAATCCACAATAGGGAGGGATTCCAAGGAAATCAAGCCTAAATAAATAATACATTAAACATTAAATATAGTTATAATACTTTTGAACCCATTAGTTGTCATTGGACTAACAAATTGATATGTAGCATAAACCTTTCAGAAATTATTTGAAGAAACAGTCTGTATGTGCATTAGATAGAAAAGGGGCTCCTCATCTCTTCTATGGCTTGTGTCTGCTATAGCCTATGGCTGTATTAATGGTAACTGATTGGGTTGACCTGTGATGTTCTCTACTGATTTCTTATCTAACTGTACTGCTTTTTCAGAAAGCAAATTATCAGTTGTCTTTTTTTTTCTTAAATGTGACACCTTAGTTTCTCTACTTAGTAGAAGTCCTATGATACTTTGCATGTAAAGAATGATGGATGTTATATCTAAGCTATTAAGGCAGTTCAAGTTGTTCTGTTCTTTAAAAGGGCCATATTTACATATGTAATATAAATTCAAACTTGAATTATTCCAATTTATGTTTACTGAATATATACTATGTGAAAAATATTTGTCCCAGGTCTAAAGAAGCCAGGTTTGTTTTATCCCAGATTTGAATTTGCTTTTGAATACATTATTTGAGCTAGAGTCAATTTTGACCAGATTTTATATTATTTTTTTTCAATATATGAAGTTTATAGTCAAATTGGTTTCCATACAACACCCAGTGCTCATCCCAAAAGGTGCCCTCCTCAATACCCATCACCCACCCTTTCCTCCCTCCCACCCCCCATCAACTCTCAGTGTGTTCTCAGTTTTTAGGAGTCTCTTCCACTTTGGCTCTCTTCCACTCTAACCTCTTTTTTTTTTCCTTCCCCTCCCCCATGGGTTTCTGTTAAGTTTCTCAGGATCCACATAAGAGTGACACCATATGGTATCTGTCTTTCTCTGTATGGCTTATTTCACTTAGCAGAACACTCTCTAGTTCCATCCATGTTGCTACAAAGGGCCATATTTCATTCTTTCTCATTGCCACGTAGTACTCCATTGTGTATATAAACCACAATTTTTTTTATCCATTCATCAGTTGATGGACATTTAGGCTCTTTCCATAATTTGACTATTGTTGAGAGTGCTGCTATGAACATTGGGGTACAAGTGCCCCTATGCATCAGTACTCCTGTATCCCTTGGGTAGATTCCTAGCAGTGCTATTGCTGGGTCATAGGGTAGGTCTATTTTTAATTTTTTGAGGAACCTCCACACTGTTTTCCAGAGTGGCTGCACCAATTTGCATTCCCACCAACAGTGCAAGAGTGTTCCTGTTTCTCCACATCCTCTCCAGCATCTATGCTCTCCTGATTTGTCCATTTTGGCCACTCTGACTGGCGTGAGGTGATATCTGAGTTTGGTTTTGATTTGTATTTCCCTGATGAGGAGCGACGTTGAGCATCTTTTCATGTGCCTGTTGGCCATCTGGATGTCTTCTTTAGAGAAGTGTCTATTCATGTTTTCTGCCCATTACCAGATTTTATTTTAAAACGCAAGCATTACTTATGAAAAAAAGACACTAGAAGAATGACTGAAATAAATTCTTTAAACTATGTTATAATGTATATGTCTCATTAATTATACTCTGTAATCCAAATCAATGAATCCAAACTATTGATTTGCTGTTCTACTTTACGAGAAAAGCAGTATTAACAAATAACTTTAGAATGTTTTTCCAGCAAGTTTCCAGTTTTTTGTTTTTTTTGTTTTTTTTTTATGAAGCCATCAGGAATGACAAGTTCTCTAGTTTCCAGTTTTTTAATTTTATAAAGAGAATTCAATGACAACAGTTATATAAACTT